GCAAGGGATCAGCAACAATCTTCCCTGCACGCCTCAAAGTCCTGGAGGCGTGCAGCTCCTGGAGAGATGGGAGGTTGCAGCCAATCACCTTCTCTGCAGACCGGATGACACGCTGCAGTCTGCTCTTCTACTAAGACCTCCATACATGGGTCGTGTGCGCCAACCACTGCACCACCTGCAGGCCCCATTTAGCACAAACGTATGCTAGCAGCAGGCACGAAGGAGAACAAATGCTCAGAATTCACTCATTTTGACAGTTATTTGCTGCATTAAAGCTGCTGAACTGATTAAGAAACTGTGTCTAACTCCTACAGACCTGAAATAAAGAGCTGATTAAGCCCCGTCTTTCATTACAAGCTCTTATTGCTGCAAGCCAACAAGCTAATGGGAGCTAGCGTTCTTCTTTGTTCTGACTGCTGAATATAGAGCTCCCCCTACAGGTTTACTGGGGGACAGTTGGGCTCTGTAGTCCGAAAAATAAAAACGTGACGGTTCTAAAAAAGCCAGATAGCTGTCGAAATCTATGATAGTTTGCCTTATTGTTTTCTTTTATGCATTTACTTATTTTCAGTTTGAAATATGTGTTCACCAGTGCGTCTTATCCAAAGTTTATTTAAAAAATGCTGATCCATCACACCAGTTCTGCTCTCCACTCACTTATATAAAGTTTAACTGAGTGACATGCTTCAATCTTTGCTGTGACTCAACTGAAACCCTGTTTTAATGAAATTGATGCTTTAACCGTTAGAGGCGCCACTTCTTAAGTCTGCTAACTTGGTTATACAAACTAGACCAAAAGGTGACTGAGGATAAAAGTATGAGGATCTGGAGGTTTTAATAGGATTTTAGTGTCTTTTTTTCTTCATATATTTAGATATATTTTAAATAAATTGTTGCTTTAGCTTGTTTTTTCATACACAGCACCACGGCTAGCTATACCAGACCTCAGAGATATGGTTGTTGGACCAGTCCTCCCTCTGACTGATGATGGCGTTCCAGAGGGCAGCACGGCGCCATTTTTTATCACCATGGCAACTGCTCCCTTTCTCTTCCCCACAACATTTCTTTGCTACATCATTCCAAGTAAGAGAAACATTTGGAAACCAAACAATATTACAAATGGAGCTGGAAACTTAACCTGACATTGTGTGCCTGTCTGCTAGAATTTAGGACGATCAATACGGAGGAGGACCTGTCGGTAAGAGGATTTACATGTTTTGTTTTTAATATAAAGGGTAAATGTACCGGGATTTAATATAAATATGTTTCACATACGTTTGAGTTCAATAAAATTTTGTTTTCAACTCTTCGTCATGTAGACATTGGAGTCAGTGGCCTCAAAGTTCTCCACTGTTATGTTGACGGGTTTACCTGAAGCTAACTTCAAACACCAGGATGTCGCTAAGCTGGTGTGGGAATATCTTCCTCAGCAGGATCTTCAGACTCTGTTCTACAGCATCGTGGTTCTACCTCTGCAAAGAAGGGTAAATGACTCATGGTGCATAAACTGAAATATCCTCCAATATACCTGTTTTACTGTTTTATGACTGTATTGTTGTTGTTTTTTTCCACTTCAAGGCATTTGTGTTCTTCAACCACTGGCAGTCGTGCCAAGGTTTTGTCAAAGATTTCATGAAAAAGCAGGTTTCCCTTAGAGGAAGCAAGCTGCACATCCA